GGTGCAAGGGTGTTGGAAAGCACTGTATCACTCCAGCATCTGTCTGTCACTCCGATTTTAAATGCTGATCATCTCATAAAGAACAACAGGGAAATTGAGCTGGGGGGGGGGGTCCCCATAATGCTGCAACTGCATGAGTCACATGAGAGAAAATCACAGCATTACATTAAACAATGAAATCACAGCATTACATTAAACAATGAAACAACACTGACAAGGCCATTTCACAGAACATGTGCCATATCTTGCATTATTTCGAATTTTAAACTTAATCTCACAATCACTAGTAATACTTTACAATAAGGTCCCATTAGTTATCATAAGTTAATACATTAACTAAAATTAACTAACAATTAGCAATTAATTTATTACAGTATTTATTCATATTATATATTCTTTGTTAATGTTAGTTAATAAAAAATACAATTGTTCATTGTTAGTTCATGTTAGCTCAGGTCAATCATTTTTATCCCTCTTTGATCACCAAAATGACATATTTAAACGTTTTTTTTTCCTTGAAAAAAAGTCTTCATGCCTTAAAATAACTTGAATGTAACTCTGCACTCTTTGCCTCATTTAGTATACGCGGTTCTATGAATATGCAAATTAGCCCCGCCTCCACTCACTGGCACCAGCTCAAAGATACACTCGTGATCACACATTGACATGATTGGTTACAAGGATTGAGACTGTCACTGTTTCACTGAGAAAATACTCAGCAATGGTGTTGACTTATGCATTTGGACATGGTTTGTCTTAAAGCATATTTAAAACACCACATAGACATATAAACAACATTCAAAGCTTGATTTTCACCACAGGGGGACTTTAACAAATATAACTTTTAATTTAAAAATGTATTAGTAAATGTAGAAATTACATTAAGATTAATAAATTCTTTAAAAATAATGTTTGCGCTGAGGCGGAAACGGCTTCCATAGTATAGCACAAATATACAATAGAGTTGGTGAATCCAAACTTTTGACTAGTGCTAAATGTTTCTCACTTCAGCTTTTTCCATGTTTGTGGAAGCCGGTAGACTTGGTGAAAGTGCAGTTGGTAATACCTGAACATAAACACAACTGCGGAGGTGAAGGCACATTGTGTGTCAACATAAACACATAACGTATGAGAACGAGAAGAGTAAGGAACCTTTCTGAGAAACGGATAACCTTGAGTTTATACTGTAACAGATTCGACACAAAGATTTAGGAGAGCGGAGGATGTGGAGGAAGAGAAGGTTGATGGTGCTAAATAATGGTGTGGATGGATAATACAAGTGAAGGAAACAGTACAAGGATGAATAGGATGTATTGTGCTTTGGCAGAGAGATAAGATTTTGTTTGTTTTTGTGTTTAACTTCCCTATTTTATTAATGATATGAGCATCCCTCCATCTTTTTTAAAACTCCCTTCAACTTGCAAATACTGTTGAAGACATTTCAGCAAACTCAGAAACAGAGATAGACAGGTGAAGAGAGAAGTAGAAGAGTGTGAGACAGAGGAAATGAAAAAAATATGAAGAAATTGTGTGTAAATACAATAGACTGTATTTATTGTCTCTGTGGCCAAAGGAAATTGCCCATCCCAGTAACTGCTCTTGTTTTCTTTCCTAGGGGAAAGAAAACAGGGGGTGTCTCGGACAGATGTGACAGCACTGGATATTTCCAAAACACACACACACACACACGGACTGCAGCAGCAGCAGAAACATTATGGAGCAGAGATGCTTATCTGAGGTACGTCTGTTTCCTGTGACCAGAAATGCCTGCTGACACTCTACAGCCTGACTAGCACAAATAACAACAAGAAGCACAATCATGAGAACCGCTAACACGCGTAACAGCTCATAGCACATAACAGCGGTTTCCTCTCAAAGGAAAGGGCAAATGATCAGGTTAAGGCTCATAAAACACAGGCCATCATGTCAGTCTTCTCTTTACCTTTCCATCACTAATTTGATGAATTGTAAAAAAAAAAAAAAAAAATGCAGCAGTGTGCTATTCTCACAAATATTTTATGTTAGCCTGGCTGATATGACAGTCATCTTGGATTTATAGTGACGCCTAGTGGAAAAAATGCAGATTCATGAGAAGCAACATTATTAAAGATTATTCACAATTAGCCATTATTAATGAATTCTGTTAAAAAAAAGTGTCTAATGATGGGGATTACTGCAATTAGGTGAGAAGAATATGGCTGGTCATCTGATATATATTTATATATATATATATATTTATATATTTTTTCTCAAAATGAAAAAAAAAAAACCCACGTTTTAAGGATGGATAATATTACGTGGGGCAACTTTAAATATATTTTGTGCCAACCCTCCTCAGTCCCTTGTTTTCTAGCAGTAGGATGTGCTAATCTAGAACAGGAGACATGCTACACTGCGCATGAGAGACACCACATTTACTCAAAAACTTTTCATGAGGGAGGGAAGGGGGTCCTTTTATGGTTCAGGTGCTTAGCTTTAAAACAGGATGTATATGCTTGAGCAGATGGATCACATTCAAATCATACAGGAAACAAACATACATACACACTTTCTCACACTGGCAGTGCCACTGCAATATTCTCATTCTCTCTCAGACTCATGCACGTGCCAGCAGAATTCAATGGATTGTGGTCAATAGGCCATGCAATTCTGTTTTACTTGTAATCTTCATCTAATCATTGGAAAGAAAATAGAGGAAGAAAATGAGGAAGGTCATGTTATGTGTTTCTGATTGAATATTTAAAGGGACAATTCTATCATTAATTACTCACCCTCATGTCATTTCAAACCCATAAGACTTTTGTTCATCTTTGGAACACACATTACGATATATTTAATGAAATCTGAGAGCTTTCTGTCCCTCCGTTGACAGCTATACGCAACTACCACTTTGACGCTTATAAAAGCTCATAAAGAGATCGTAAAACTAATCAATATGAATATGTCTCTTCATAAAATTTAGACTAAACCACTCAATTCATATGGATTAGTTTTACAAACTCTCTTTATGAACTTTTTGAAGCATCAAAGTGGTAGTTGCGTAGCTGTCAATGGAGGGACAGAAAGCTCTCAGATTTCATAAAATATTCATTTGTGTTCCGAAGATGAATGTAAGTTTTACGGGTTTGGAACAACTTGAGGGTGAGTAAATGATGACAAGTTTAATTTTTGGGTGAACTAACTCTTTAATACTTCTCATCTTCCCAGTTGCCTATACACTGAAAAAAAAATGATTTTTGCTGCTTGTTCAAATTGCTTAATTAAAATTAGCTTAAGCAACACAATTGCTTTACATTTTGTCCAAACTTAATTTGATTGTGTCCAATCTGCTTAAATATATACAATTTAAGTTTACTTAATCCATTTGTGTTGGATTACATGAATGATTTGTGTTGCATTAACTGAAACTGGGCGGTGCATGTTAATTCCCAGCATGCTTTGCATATGTCTGAATTACGAGAGAATAAATGTTGAAATGAAGTGTTATTTTATATTTTTTTGAGAAAATGAGAAAAAGTTAGTGTGTAATTGTGTTTAATGTTCAATTACATTGGAATTATTAGAACCATTTAAATTACATTTACCATTGGTTACCATTGTGGAGAAGAGTGGAGCATTTGGTTAGGCTGTGGACCGATTCAACTGTGATTATAGCAACTGCTGTTGCTGAAGGTGCATGTACACCTTAGCATTTAGGATGCTAATAAGTACTATAGGTAGCTAAATGCTTGCTATTTACTAGAAAGTGAGTTGTGTGATGCTAAAATACATTAAATCTTCATTGGATAAATGAATATGAATTTGAATACCGGAATTACCCAATCAGGGAGCATTTTAAAATTCACTTTGAAACAACTTAATTGGTTAACTTAAAATGACTTAATTCCATGATGTTGAAGTTACATGAATAAATTATGTTTGTGTAACTTAATTGGTTTATGTGGGACCGATGTACACTATCAAATCATGTAAATCCAACACACTTTTTTTTTCAGTGTAGATGCCATTCCTGGGAGCCATGGATGAAATGTAGTTTCATGAAATTATTCTGAAAATATGTATGGCTCGTTCTTTACCTGTATCTATTAAACTCTTATCTATATATATGTTATAATATATATATTTTTTATTAATGTAAATTTAAACAGAAAATGACTTGAATACACTTCTATAAATACATATTTTCAGTCTCTGAATTAAATAAAAAAACTTTTCTTTTTGTGTGTGTGTGTGTGTGGAGCAATTTTGTTTGAAAAAACGATTAAAAAACTCTTTATGCGGCAAATCAAAGTAAGTGTGGAGACTCCCGAGAAAAGGATCCCTTATGACTGTGTCGAGATCTTTTAAAAATAAACTATCATCACTGATTTTAGAAAAATTTGTATTCAGGTCAAATGTAGAAATAACCCTATCATAAAACGTCTTGATTCACGTCAAAATGAATGATCATGAAATTATGTATATATATATATATATATATATATATATATATATATATATATATACCATTACACGTATAAAACGTTTCCATAATACATCTGTTGATACATAATTTTTGACATTTTGTTTTGATAGAACATGTTTGAGTGGCCCTTAGAGTTCAGTCTTTGATCTTGCGGGATAAATTCCGGAAATCATTATTGCACTATTACCTCTCGATGGGGGTAGACAATTATCATTAAATGAAAGAGTAAGAGGGCTAATTAACTCGAAAAACACTTGTTGCTGACGTTCACTGGGACGATGACGCTGAATTTCAAGTTCTCTGCAGCTCGTAGGACGCGGATGTGATGTCATCACGGACAGTGGCTATGGCGGTCTCCATAACGACGCCTCGTGCTGCAGTGACGCCAGCCCCGCTCGTGGTGAGGGGGCGTGACTCAGCCAATGCCCGGGCACCCCTCCCGCCCCATTCCCCTCCTTCCCCCGACCGTGTGGGCGGCCCCGTGCGGCAGCAGCGAGCGAAACACGACACCCGAGAGAGGGAGGAGAGAGAGAGAGAGAGAGAGAGAGAGAGAGAGATGGGGGGGAGGAGACAGCGAGTAGTTTCAGTGGAGGAAGGAAAAAAAGTCGGTGTGAAAGAGAGAATGGGAAACTGACTGATATACTGCGAATGGCGAGCCTCGGGAGAGCAGATGACAAACTAACACAAGGATAAAATGTTGCGAAAATCATCAACTGGGCACAAGAGCGCGCATATGTAACAGAGAGACACTGAGTGCTGCTTTTCTGCCGTGTTGGGATTGTATCGATCGCTCCCGGGACAGACGGGAAAGCGCTGTTTCGGAACTCAGTTGCACCCCGTCCCGTCGCGCCAGTGGAAGTACTGAGCCGCTTTCCAAACTCAGCGCTGTCGTTCGGGGGGTTTGGAGGAATCGTGTAAAGAGGGCAGATATAGTAGGACGGGAGCAACAAGAGTGCTGAACATTGGACAAAAGTTTGGCCTTTTGGAGACGGGGGAGCGGGAGAGGCCGAGTCTCGCCACCGCTGAACTGACAACTTAACCCAGCTTGCTGTGTGTTAGGGGCAGATAACTTTCACCATGAAAACCCCGGGGGACTCGGGTAAGTTACCAGGCATTCATTAGTGCTGCCACAACTTCTTTGACTTGTGAGTTTGTTGAGCCAGTGCATCAAAAGTACGGATTTTACATCAGCCTTATGTATCATTAAGTGTCAAAACTGATAGTAAACTGACAACTGACTTTACTTACAACTTACTTCTTTTTTTTCTTCTTTTTTTAGAAAAGTTGACTGTTTTTCCAGGGCTTATTACTCTGACATACCAACTGATTTAATACTGATTTCTATTTTTACATTATCAGGTTCATCTAATATATTTGTAACTCGTGAGCTTGAAAGGCAGTTTTCACTTATAATTAATAATGCGGTTAATTGTCCATTCATTTAAATAACCTAAAGTATACTCTAGCCTACTCTAGATAATTAGTCGAGCTCAGCGTGTCCATTCTAGTAGTTCTAATGTTAACAAGTCCTCAAGTTTGCGGTTTTACTTTAAATAGTTACATTCAAACCTAATGAACGCTTCATTAGCCTACTGTTTCTTTCAGTCCTGTCAGCGCAAAACGCACTAAACCTGTTGAATGGCTACTACCGGTACTTTAAAACAGCAGCTTGTACTTTTGTCGTTCGTTGAAATATGTCGAAATCGATGTTGTGAATCCCCCACAAAATGTTAAAGAGTTTTCTCCCCTAAAATGTTCCTCCGTGCACTCTGCGCGTGCCAGCTGTGTGCAGCTCAAGCGCGAGCTTTGAACCAGTAGCATGGCACATTCAAAATGGAAGCCCCGCTTTTCCACCAGGGTATTTAATAAAAGTTTTCACTACTTGGTTTACGACTAGACCACTTTACAGTCGGCCCTGCTTCTAGGCAGGCCTTAAAGCTTGTAAATTGCAGCGAAGCCTAATAATACAGAGCTGCGCACTAATTTCCCTTTAGGTGTTGTATCGCCTACTTTTATGATGAATGCTTTCCAGTAGTTTGAATTCACTTTAATCACTGTTAGCATACTTGCCGTAAGTATTCATTTTTTAACATGTATCCACTTGTCCAGTATGTACTTGTGAAGTTGTTACTGTCCCGCCAACTACAGGAAGTTTCAGTAGCCGTGTTCAGGAGGCCTATTGTGGCATGTTTGGGAATCCATGTTGAGACACTCACACTCTCCCCTTCTCTCTCTCTCTCTCTCTCTCTCTCTCTCTCTCTCTCTCAATCACAACAAATTCTCTCACATCACGATTTTCTCAGCGGTTGTACCCCGCCACCCACGTTGCTCTAAGTTTAACGGATTTTAACTATTACATTCCATCAACACTCGAGCGCGCGACGTCATAAACAAAAGTGTGCGCGCGAGATGCGTTGTAGACTGGGCTTTATGAAGTTCATCGTGCTCTGTGTGAAGTCTGAGCAGCACGTCATGGTCACTTTCACTTTTATAAACCCTGCCCTCCCCTCCCCTCCCTTATAAGTTAAGCTTGTGTTTTTTCCCTCGACCCCAAATTTTTGTATTATGCAGTGCTGTAAATTGCAATTACTTTTGTGTATAATCTTTTAATTTAGTGAATGACGGTGATATCATGGCAAAATACAAATTATTATATCTCAAATCCCTTTAGTCTAGTGCCAAACTTGCATTTTCAGAAACTGAAAGCCAGGTTTAGCCTAGCTAAAGCAATTTCTTTAATAATATTAATAAATAATAATACTTATAGTCCTAAGACTGCTCACTTGGTTGCCTGTGTGTGCATTTAAACTCACTATAGTGCTAGTCATTTTAAATAGCCATGTAAATAGTGCTGATTAGCCCAGAATGTGTCCCACAAACCTGCAAGGATCATTCCTTCAAATTCATTTCAACGTAATTTTTTGGGAAGGGCCTGAAAGAAACATATTACCTCATAATTTCTATATGTGCTCTGATGCCAATGTCAACACATGAAAACCACATTTCACTTTCAGCTGTGATTCGTTTAGACAACATCGTCCAAACTTGGAGTGGAGTGCCCTATATGGAGTACATTTTTAATTAAGCAAGGTGTGTAAAGTCAAAATTTTATGAAGGTTTAACGGTGACCTCTTGACCTTCTCTAATAGACCTAAATCGTGTCACACATCTTAAATCCACAGACGATGCGAATTTGTATGTTGACTTTATGAATTTGAACGTCAGTAATTAAATGCAGAGACTGGATGCAATGTTGCTTTAAGTCAGGTGGCAATAACTACTACAAGCACCTTGTGGTTTTATCAGTCTACGGCTGTGCAGGCCACATTCTGACCTCGATAGTTACGAGGTGAACTCAGCTGCTGAGTATGCAAGAGAGCGAACGAGCAAGTGAGTGAGACGAAGATACAGTACTGAGTATAGGATGTGGTTTCCAAGTGCTTCATTCTCTATCAGATTTTAGTATCTTTTCAGTCTGTGTTCTTACCTGCAAACACCCACAGCGGTATAAATTCGTATTGCATTTCGTTGAGAGAGCATTTTCTCTGAAAGCCGTGGTTTGTTATGAGAACAGGAGGTGATGGCAGCGTCAGTATGGTGTGCATCCTGATAAAAGTCATGTGTGTGTCTGTCAGTCCTTAACACTGACACTATCGAAAGCATCAAAAAAGCTCTCGCCACATGAATCACATTAGATATGAGACACTGCTCTTATCACTTCCTCACTCTCTGACTGCCACTTTGCATGAATTCAGAGAATGATGCGCACCTCTTCAGACTTTTTTTCTTTTCCGGGTGGTGTGTGTCTGCACAAACAGGCATTAGCTGACCCTGGCTGATCTCATTTTCTCTGTAACATCTGAAAGTGTCTGTGGTTCAACTATGGTCTACCCATCAGGCCTCAGTGTGTATTTAGTACGGCATTATCCTGAATAGACTAACTCTGTAATTTGTGCGCTGTCTCATGAGATTGTCGCTAGTGAAGAGTCAGTGGTTAAGATTGCAGCTTTAATATGTAATATTGCCTTATTTCTCATAGAGATAAGTTTTACCCATCAGTGTCAGAAATGTATTCAATATTATTATTTTTCATCTTTGAGGTCATATACACTGTCTGTGGCATCCTTAAATTAAGTTTACTTTAATCAATTAATTAAAATACATGTTCAGTCTGAATAATTAAACAAGCTATTAACCATAAAATAAATTAATATCATCTATTTGATATCAACTATTTTATGTGATTAATCTAGCTAATCAGTGCTAGAATAAAATATTAAGAACTATATCAGCAGATTGTCTGCCCAATCTCGAGTGTGATAATAAACAAGAAGATAATACATTTAGACAATATTGCCAATGCCAGTTTTGTCTAACAGTAGTGGTGTTTAATTTTTGTATGAATCAATGTTTAAGCAAATCAGTTGACTGAATGATTCAATGACGTCCTCATAAACACAGTCCCTTGTTTTGTTCCTGGGTCAATCAGTGTTGTTGAATGAATCGGTTGAGTGAATAATTCAAATACTCCGTCCATCGTAAAGAACTCCGCTCGCCCAATCATATTCTAATTCTAATGTTGCATAAATAAAATCAGGCTATATCAAAACTAGTGTCCGACCGATATTGGTTTTTTGATGGCCGATGCCGATATCTTAGAGAGCAGTGTGGCCAATATAAAGCCTATACATAATTTATATTTATTTTAATTAATATTTAATAAATTGTAAATAAATATGAAATACATTTTTAAAATAAATCATTAAAATAATGCTGCATGTTTGCTAAATATTGACGGTAAATGAGAAAGTATTATAGCCTATTGTTTGCCTGTTACTAATAATATAAAAGCAAACGCTATATTTTTTTCGCATACCGTTTACTTTCTTTGTTTAACAGTTTTACCTAATAACATATTAGATATGACTGTTAAACAGAGACTATAAAGTTTAAACTAATGAAGACGGATAATGTGAGCACTGTGTGATCAGACGCTGCCGTTCTCAGGCAATCTCAGCGCCACCCGTCAAAATAAAAGTCCCGCTTCTAACACATCGGCCAATTAGAAAAACGTATCGGCCAATGCCAATATTTAAAAAAAAAAAGGGCTGTGGCGATATATCGGTCGACCACTAATCAAAACTAATCACATTTTGACCTGATCTGACCTAAACTGACCTAGTTAATATCAAATCCTGGCTCAGTTTGTGTTTTGCTTATGTTTTTGTGAGTGTGTCATTGTCATGCTCACTGTTAGCCGGTTTTCTTGTAGTTGTAATAGATTGTTAATTTGGAATAATTAGCAGCCTTTTATCGCTCGTTCACATTGTCACACAGGAGACCATGTGCTCTATTTTAGTCAGTGTTATGCAGCCGCCTCAGTCTTTCAGGTCTCTCTGGAACCAGTTCAACATCAGCAGGCACCTCTCTGTGTTTACATGCTTATGTATCCTGTTCGGCAGCATGTGCTTGTGTTTGTTCGAGACAATCAGCAAGCCAGCGTGTTTTGTATTTTCCGCACTGCCTGGTTTCCCATCAGGCCCATCAAACGGTTGCTCCGTCATGCTATTTCTCTGTACACAAATGGAACGCCTGTAAATGTCACACACATTGGCAGGATTTTTCATTGACATTGATGTGTGAGACTGTATTAAACACTGCAGCGATACAGTTTGTACTTTTTTATTCTTACACTGCTCGCCTTGGGACAACTTGTACCTCGATTTGGGAGCATTGGGAATAAATGTTTCACTGGAAGTGTACGGATGGTGTATTTCTAGGGATGAACGAGGTCCTTAGGGGTTGAATAGTATTTTGTTTGTTTTTACCCCTGGAGAACAATAATGGTGTGTCCACCATCAGGGGAGCACAGTGGTTTGTGTGTGTTTGCCATGTCAGTGGGTTACGGGGGCAGCGTAGAATACGAGCGAGAGCGTCCATGTGTTGGAGTCATTTATGGACTGACAGCAGCACAGAGGCCCCTGTGTATGATCGGGGGGAGGGGGGAACGTGTGAGTGTGTGTGATATGACCCTGACCTCATGACCTTTCATAGCTGCACCCCTTAACCCTGCATTCCACAACACGCCCCTGCCCCCGT